TTTGAGTCTATGAAGTTTCTGAACTGTTATTTATTCATAAAGTAGTGTATCATTCCTTGGAGTTTGAGTCAGAGTTTATCTGGATTAAGTACTCTTGGTGAGTCATTCATTTCACTGTGTTTTTTCACTATATTCCACCATTGTCTTTGGGCTTGAAAGGTTTCCTCTGATAAGTCTGCTGTAAATCTAAGGGGTACTCCATTGTATGTGATTTCCTTCTTTGAACTTGTTGCTTGCAGTCTCTATCTATGTTATCTGTCATTCTGATTATGATATGTCTTGGAGTCTTTTTATTAGGGTCTCTTTTAGCTGGTACTCTTTGGGCTCCTTGGATCTGGATGCCTGCATTCTCCAGTTCTGGAAACTTCTCAGCAATGATATCTTTAACTGTTGCTTTTTTTTTTTTTTTAGGTTTGCCTTCCCTGTCCTTCTGATGCTCCAATGATTTTTATATTGTTCTTCTTGAGTTCATCCCCTAGGTCTCTGACTCGCCTTAGAGCTATTTTGAGGTCTTTTCCCATTGTATGTTGTTGCCTATATGCTTTCTGCAGTTTATCTTCAGCTCACTGATTCTGTCTTCGGCTGTAGTGATTCTACTGTTGAGGGTGCCCACTGAGTTTTTTTATTTCATCTACTGAATCCTTTATTAGTGATGGTACTGTTTTGTAGCTTTCTTATTTCTGCTCTTATTTCTTCCTGTATTTTCTTGGCTGCCCAGTCCACTGTTTCTTTCATGTCCTCCTTTAATTTACTGGGTATCTCTGATCCATTTTTTCCTTTAGTTCATTGATCATCCTCAGCATTTCATCTCTGAATTCTTTATCGGAGAGATCATATTTGTGAACCATCCCTATTGAGACTTCAGGGTTCTTTTCTTCATCCACTCCTCGTGGTGGGGATTTGTGCTATTTCTTCATGTTGCTGTGGTAGTATGGAGGTGGGACCTTCCAGTTCACTTCTAAGTGTACTCCTCTTGCTGCAAGAAAGGATTCTGGATGAGCTCGGTCGATGGTTGTCACCTTTTTCCCCTTCTAGAATACTACCTTCCTCTTTGGTGCTTCTCTGTGACTTATGTGAGGCCCTACTGAAACTTCAGAAGATGTGTTCTTTTATATTAGACTTGTTCAGTTTCTTGTGTTCACCGTTATTTTGGTGAGATTGAAATAGGCTACTGGACTGTTGGCCTAATGCGATTGGGATAGGCAGGATGTTCTCCTCAAATTTAGGTAATAGAAATTAAGATGTGAGTCCAGAGCACTGGGACAGGGGAAAATAACTGCAGCCTCATGAGCGACCACTACCCCGGAGACCACATCCCACCTCTCCATGCACAGTACCTGTGACAAAGTTGGCCACGTCAGTGCCTGAACAGAATTAAAATCCCACTTCTGATGCAGTCCTAACACTTGCCAGGGAACACCTCTAGCCCAGGTGCTTGGGGCACCTTGCCTGAGAGGGTGGGTGTTTTTGCAGTTCCCTGGGTCTGTTTTCTTGGCACACCACCCTCTTGATGCCCCGTTCTAGCATCCTAGATGCATTTCCCATAGAAATCATGGCCCATGTGCACTTTCTTTTCTATCAGAATTGTCACCATTAGGTCATGACTGTGTCTTTGTTGGGGTACTGGTGAGACTGTGTATAACCCGTGTTTTCCAATCTGCAGGAATGGACAGATGTCCACTTTGTCACAGGACTATTAGAGTGGGGAGGGGCAAATCCTGTCTTCCTGATATAGACCTCAGCAAGCTCGATTTTCACTGGCTCCTGATGCTTGCCTCTTGTCTTTCACCTAGACTGATGCCAAAACACAGAACAGCAAACTTTATACCAGGGTCCATTTGACATTGCAGGGACCTGACTGATATAGAGTAGTCAGAGATGACTTTGGCCCTTTTCTCGGGGGGGGAGGGGAATCAAAGTAGTAAATGTAGTAATTGTTATCAAAAAGCAGTTTCTGTGTTCCATGCATATAACTTATTTTAGCATCTCATGGGCTGACTTACATCCCTCAGAACTCTTCATATCAAAGTCCTAATCCTAATATCTCAGTGTGACTATATTTGGTGTGTTGCCTTTGAAGAGGTGACAGTTGAAAAATGAGTTCCTTCACCCTCTAACCTGACCCCTTTTGACTTTTTGTGATGGTGCCCAAGATTTGAGAACATGAGATCTTCCATTAGGGTTTGTCCTAATCCAGTGTGAGCCCATGTCCTTGTACCAGGAGCAAATCAGGACGCAAAGGAGCACAGATGGAAAGCCATCTGTGAGCCTAGTAAAGGGGCCTCAGAAGGAACTGAATCTCCAATCTGCCAGCATGCTGATTGTGAACTTACAACCTCCTCGCTTGGGCTGTTGAAGCCCTTCAGTATGTGGTACTTTATTATGACAGCCTCACTAACTATTATAGTGCTACTGTTGTTCACCTTTCTGGGTAAGGAAGTAACACACTAAAATGCAAAGTAATTCAGCTGCTAGCACCCAGCTTAGATGTGGCCACCGTGCTCTGGATCTGCTCTGTTCCCCCAGCCATCTCCATGACTTATTACATCCCCTTAGAGGGGAAGGACCTAACTGCCCCAGTGTGGGTATCATGGACCTTTGCAGACTTGATAGGTATTAGCCTCTGCATAGACAGGGTCTGTGACTGTTTTGTCTCCCTCTCTCCCCAGCTTTTAAAGAGGGAGTCCAGGGATGAAGCTACTTATTTCAAAGTGTTCTAAGTTTGAAAACGCCAGCAAAGTAGCGTATTTGTGTACATTATATTGTGAAGCATCCACGGCAGTATGTTCTGGGGTCTTGGATCTAATGTTGTCTTTTTTTTGCTGGTCCTGACACCTTTGTGTCATAATGGAACTACTTCTCTCACGAGAAGGTATGAGCTATGGTTACTCCCACTCCCATGTGTTTGAAAAGATCTATTAAAAGGTTGTTTAAAGAAAAAAAAAAAGGTTGTTTGAAAGTGTTGTTTTTTGAAAGCTTTGTTGCCAGTAAATATGGTGTTCTGCCCAGGACCCTGCTGTGTGGATCACTGACTACACTCTGAGGTTTTCATCAGAGACTCTGGTCTGTCTTATTGTTCTCTCTGCCTTGTTCATTAGGAAGATGGTAAGCTGCATGGACAGCTCCATTGCATAGGTAAAACCATTTGGTAGTTGAAATCTCATATAAGCACTTATTCCTGAGATGTAGAGGATAACGTTTTCATGGAAAAGGAAGTTGCTTCTTCTTCAGAAATAGAAGTTTTTACCTCAACCCAGCACCTTAGACGACTGTTGTATTTCTATTGCCCCTTGCATAGGGCTAAATTGAAAAGACACTGAAGAAGCCAGCAACTTGTAGCATTGTTGTGATCACTGTAAAATTGATGTAGTGTTCATTCCTCCTGAGTGTGCCCCCCGACTGTGCACACTCCTCGCTTTGCTGCTGGTGCTGAGCTGGGCCTAGGTCTCAGGGAATGGAATGTGCATACTGGGACTCTTGCCCAGTCTATATTCAAGAATGACTGGGGCTGGAGCCATTGTACAGTGGGGAGGGGGAGAACATTTGCCTTGTATTCGGCTGACCCAGATTCCATCCCCAGCATCCTATATGGTCCCCCAAGCACTGCCAGGAATAACCCCTGAGCATCACTGGATAGGGTCCACAACCAAAAACAAGAATAGTGAGAATGCAATATGTTATTCCTCTGGCCCACCTGCTAAGCAAGAGAGTGGAAGCAGAAATAATTTATAGGACCTATTGGTCTTGACTGTGTCTGGTTTAAGGAATAAAACATAGAGGCGAAGTTGCCCATTACAGCATGCTGTTGGTACTCTGGAAGACAGAACTGTAGAGGCCTCAGGTGATAGTCCATGGCTGTCTCTGTGTTGACAGGCTTGTGTCTGAGGCAGAGCTGGCAGACAGGCAGCTGCTCTGGAGAAGCAGAAAACAGAGGCATGACCGGGCTCACCTGCCTTCCTCATGGATCTTTGTTTCTCCGGAAAGGACTGGAATATTAATCAAGTTGACAGCGCTGTGGTTTTTTCCCCCCACCCCCAAGGCTTTCAAGCAATTTCCTCATGCATAGCATGGAATGTTTCATGCTGTGGTGTAGCACTCACATGAGCAAGTGAAGCAGTGATACTTTTATCCAATGCACTTTGAGATTTTCTCTTTCATGCCTGGAAAATATATGTGTTCACACACATGCGCTTGTGCACACACACACACAGTGTTCACAAGACACTTAACTATGTTACAACCCACTGGTGGGTTTGGAATCACATTTAGGTAGACTTCTACCATAAGATAAACGTATCTAAAGCTCTCCTTCTTCACTCTGTGTCTTGGGAATGTCTGCCAGTTTGAGAAGACTCATCAGAGGAAAGAAAGAGCAGTGCTATCAGTGCTTGCTCATCCCAGAGCCCACCCCTGCTCCCCACCTATGGGCAACCCTAGAAGGGTACCACGGTGCCAGGGGTGGGGGCAGAGCTAGTTGGGGGGCATGGTGGTGTCTGGTGGGAGGGTGATGGGGACAGGGCTGATGCTCTTTTTTATTTTTGATTTTTGGGTCACACCCAGCGATGCTCAGGGGCTACTCCTGGCTCATGCACTCAGGAATCTACCTGGTGGTGCTCGGGGGACCATATGGGATACTGGGAATCGAACCTGTGTTGGCCATGTTGGCTGCGTGCAAGGGAAACGCCCTACCCGCTGTGCTATTGCTCCAGCCCCTGATGCTCTGTTTTGAGACCCACCAAGAAAGGGTTCGAGGGTACATGTGCCCAGTCACCTCACAGCTCTGCAGTTCAGAGGATAGTCCGGCTGCACCTTGTGCCCCCATTATTTCCCAGTGATGCTGGAGTGCTTTAGGGGCGGCCTGCTCCAAAAGGAAACTTGCCCCATATTCCGTGCCACCGCCTGGGGTCGCAGACCCTCGCGGGGAACACCAGGCACTGGGGCGTGGACAGGCCGTTCCCAGGCCGCATCTTCCATCTCATCTCTCTGTGTGTCACCCGCAGGCCTCGGGAAGACCCGCCGGAAGACGAGCGCACGCGATGCCTCCCCGACACCCAGCACCGACGCGGAGTTCCCGACCAACGGCGGGCCCGGCGGCGCCGACCGCATCTACGACCTCAACATCGCGGCACTTGTCAAGTTCGCCTACACCGCCGAGCGCGAGGACGAGCTGTCGCTGGTCAAGGGCGCGCGCGTCACCGTCATGGAGAAGTGCAGCGACGGCTGGTGGCGGGGCAGCTGCAACGGCCAGGTGGGCTGGTTCCCCTCCAACTACGTGCTGGAGGAGGCGGACGAGGCAGCGGCCGAGCCCCTCGGCTGCCCGGGCCTGCGCCAGGCCACGGCGCTCAGCAACGGGCAGGGCGCGCGGCCGCTGCACCTGGTGCAGACGCTCTACCCCTTCAGCTCCGTCACCGATGAGGAGCTCAACTTCGACAAGGGCGAGACCATGGAGGTGATCGAGAAGCCCGAGAACGACCCCGAGTGGTGGCGGTGCAAGAACGCGCGGGGTCAGGTGGGCCTGGTCCCCAAGAACTACGTGATGGTCCTCAGCGACGCGCCCGCCCAGCACCCGGGGCTCTCGCCACCCGTCAGCGTCGGCTACACGGGACCCGCCTGCAGCGGGCGCTTCGCGGGCCGTGAGTGGTACTACGGCACCGTGACACGCCACCAGGCTGAGTGTGCCCTCAACGAGCGTGGCGTGGAGGGTGACTTCCTCGTGAGGGACAGCGAGTCCTCGGTGAGTCCAAGGGTGCGGGTGCTGGTGGGGTGCAAGGCTTGCGGGACTGGACTTATCTGGCCCAGAGGTGGGGGAAAACAGTCAGTCCTCTGGGGTGCAGACCTGCAGGAGAGGGACAGGAGTCCTCAGGGAGTGCTGCAGGTGCAGGGGTGCAGCTCAGGATGTGCTTGGGGGGGTGTACTAACGGGGTGAGCACTGGGCAAAACCGAGTCCTAGTGAGGTCCCAGCTTGCAGGGGCGGGGGCTGGAAGGAAAGCACACATGGACCTTATCACACTGGGTCATCAGCCCTCATAGGCCATTAGTGGTTCAGATTGCTCAGTGCCCTGCAAGTCAGCTGACAGCATCCGGGGCTCGTACTGCATGGTGGTGGTTCCCGGCCCTGCACTGAAGCTGTGCAAGGTCACGCTCTGTGGTAGACTCACTTAAGTGACTGTGAGGCCAGGGACTTGCCCGGGTGGCTGGTTGACATCCCAGAGATGTTTCCGTGCCAGAGGTGAGTGAGCTGTGTCGCCTTGCCGAGGCTTGTCTGACCTCCCTGTCCAGGTCACCCTCCTTTTTATTCTACAGGCCAAACTATCTTCTCTCCGCAGTCCCCATTCTGTTAGTGACCTGACTGGGAGCCCATCAGCTGACTTGTTTCCTCTCCCTACCTAAGGCCAGAGGGTGGAGGGACACCAGGTTTCTGATGTGGCTTTTTGTTGGTTGGTTTTTTTCTTTTTTAATTTTTTTTTAGTGGAACACCATGAGGTAAGGTACAGTTGTAGACTTACAAATTTTTGTGCTTGGGTTTCAGTTATACAGTGATCGAGTACCCATCCCTCCACCAGTGCCCATTCTCCACCAACAATGATCCCAGTAGCCCTCCCACCCCCATCCCCCCCATCCCACCCTGCCTCTGTGGCAGGGCATTCCCTTTTGTTCTCTCTCTCCTTTTGGGTGTTGTGGTTTTTAATAGAGGTATTGAGTGGCAATCATGTTCGGTCTCGTCTACTTTCAGCATGCATCTCTCATTCTGGAAGGAACCTCCCAACACCCTTTACTTGGTGTTCCTTTCTCTGTCTGAGCTGCCTTTTCCCCCAGCATATGCTGGGGGACTGGCCTCCAAGCCATGGAGCGAACCTCCTGGTACTTATCTCAGCTATTCTTGGGTGTTAGTCTCCTATTTTGTTGCTTTATATTCCACAGATGAGTGCAGTCTTTCTATGTCTGTCCCTCTCTTTCTGACTCATTTCACTTAGCCTGGGGTTTTTTGTTTTAGGTTTGTTTTTTTTCTTTTTTCTTTTTTTTTTTCTTTTCTTTTGCTTTTTGGGTCACACGCAGCTATGCACAGGAGTTACTCCTGGTTCATGCTCTCAGGAATTACTCCTGGCGGTGCTCGGGGGACCATATGGGATGCTGGGAATCGAACCTAGGTTGGCTGCGTGCAAGGCAAATGCCCTACCTGCTGTTCTATTGTTCCAGCCCCGAGGTTTGTTTTTCTTTAAACCGCACAATGCCCAGGTCATCTCTGCTGCCCGCTGTAGCACTTTCATCTCTTAAGAGCTTTCAGATCTGTTGGGAGTGGAGTTGAAAAAAGAAAGACAGACCTCCATAGAGATGAGTTTGTGTGTGTGAACAGGGGAGATGTGAGACCACTTGGCCTGCAGCAGATCCAGTCCTGGCTTCAGACTCACCAGGGCTGTGTTTCAACTCAGTGTCCACTCAGCGGGGCTGGGATCTTCAAGGTACTCTTTTCACTCATCCACCTTAGAAATAAATGCTCAGCTGCTGCCATCAGTGCTTGGCAAATGCTCGGACCACATCATCTGACCTGCTAAAATGAGAATTTCATCCGCTGGGCCCATTGTGACTAACTTGCACTGGTTTTAGCTGAATCCAGTTTAATATTCTCCATGTAAACCCTGAGACTATTCAGTGCTCTCACTGTCCTCTAAAAGTCTTGGAGCCGTGGTAAGTGAATGCATGCTCAGAACTCTAGGAAAGGGGTTCAAAGCCAGGGGTTTCACTCCTGAAGAGGAAGCTACCGTGTGTACTTTAAGGAGAAAGAGTGGAGAAGCTCAACCCATTCATGGTTTCAGCAGCAGATCCTGCCGTTGACAACATCCATGAGTATGCCTGACCTTGAACATTCATTCGTTCCACCTGGAATCTGTTACCCAGCCACCAGATTGTAACATGTTTGGCAAGACACCAGATTAAATTGTTTCCATGTGGCATATGCTTTGGACATACCTTCCTGTTTAAGGCTTAAATTCAACACTCAACTCTTTAAGTAGAATCTCAGAGAAAGTAATGGAAAACCATTTCACTATAATAGATAGGTCCAAAATATTTAATGAGAATTATATAGTCCATAAAATGTAATCTTGGTGGGGAAATTTTGAGCTTGAAAAGATTTCCTAGGAAGGGAGGGTGCAGCCACGGAGTCTTCTGCTCCATTCGTTGTTCACTGAATCTGGAACAGAACCGAGGAGAAAGTCCTGGGAAAGAGGTAGATGAGCAAAGCATTGTCTAGTTGCTGGCCTCAGTAAAGACCTATGACTTTTCTGTGGGGTGAGCACCTGTCCCCCACGATAGGTTAGTATGTCCGGTGTGGGGGACCAGGTCTTTTCAGAGAGAGAGGCATGCCTGTGTTTCTAGATTGCATCTCAGAACTCAAGCTACATTTTTTCCTTCCTAGTAGGTCCTTCCCCCAACCCTATAAAAGAAGAAGAAGAAAAAAACAACTTTAAGCTGTAGATCAGCTAATAGTGTGCTGGACTCTTTGATTTTAGGGGTGTGGGTGTAGAGGCGGTTAGTCTTGATCTCTGATCCCTGCCCCTGTGGACTACGTGCACGGTACTTGCAAGCCTGTCTGTGGCAGCGGGTGTTCTGTGACTTGTGGTTGCCCTTTCCGAAGAGCTGAGCCAGGCTGTGGTTGTTGCTTCTGCTGCTTATGACCAGGTCTGCCTCAGAGAACTAGAGGCTGCTGACTAGGCTGGTGTATGTGTGCTAGGTATTGCTTTTACCCGTTTCCCGTCTACCTCCCCTTCCTTCTGCCAAAGTCTCTCTTTCTTCATTTCCTCCTCTGCTCTGTTTCCCTTTCTCGTGTGAGAGCTTGGCTTGCTAAGCCCTCCTCGGGGACAGTCATCTAGCAGCCCTCACTAGGATGGCAGAGAGGTTAGCCAACAAGCTCACCCGTGTTCCCTCAGGACCCTTGTTTAATTTCCTTTTCTTTCTTTCCATCTTTAGACCTGGGCCTCTCCTTTGACTGAGGTTGCCACAGGATGCCTGACTTATAAATACATTTTCTTAGAGTGTATCTTCACAATGGGCATCATGTTTTAAATATCTGGGATTATTCCAGTAGAGATGAATGAGGCTCGTGCTTGATGATATTCTTGCATACTTCATGTTTTTCTGCTTTGAAAAATAAAAATTTGCCCAACTCTGAGTCCTAGGAAATCTGTGCTTTTCTGGAGCAAGAGGTGTACGTTTCAGGAAACAAACAGCAACCTTGCCATGTCCTGTGAGATCTAGTGAGGGAAGTGCAAGATATTTCAGAGGTGTCTGTATATCACCTCTGTTCCGTCAGTGAATGGATAAATGAAAAGGAAGTCCTACTTAACTCTCCCCTCTCCTGCGTTTGTTCGTTGGGCTTCTTGCTCACTTGCTCTCCTCATCTCTCTATGACTATTACTGACCTATAGTTGCTGAGGAGGAAGCAATATCATTCCCTGAGCCAGAAAGTACAGCAGATAAGGCACTTGTCTTGCACGTAACAGACCCACGATCAATCCCCTGGGCCCCACCAGAAATAATTCCTGAGTATTATTGAGAGTAGCCCCCAAGCCAAAACAAAACAAAGTATGATTTCCTAATCTCCACATTTTTTGTTTTGGGAGCCACACCCAACAGTGCTCGGGACTTACTTATGAGGCTCTGTGCTCAAGGATCACTCCTGGCAGGGCTCAGAGAACCACTCAGATGCCAGGATGCCAGCGATCAAGCCCAGTACGGCCACATGCAAGAATCAAACCCAGGTTGACAGCTTCAAGAACCTGCTATTCTATCACTCCAGCCTATAATCTCCACATTTAATTTCATACTGCTTTCTGCTGATTGACAGTTCATGAAATCTAAGAGATTTGAATTCCCTACTGGTCCTCCTATAGGCTCCTCATAAATTCTATGTAGTTGTCCACATTCATTCTGTAGGTATGGTTAGAAAACTATAATTAAGAATAACCAGTAACTAAATAGATTTTTAGTAAGTAGTAAAAGTTGACAGTTTTTATTTTCTCAGTTGCTGCATTCCCCTTATTGAAAAGGTAATACAGAAAATGACAGGTTGTAAGTTGCATAGGAAGGGGTCTTGAGTGGGGGAGGGGAATTTATAAAGATGGCCAGGCATACAACATCAGTGGGCCAGGAATCTATTTCTCTCTGTATGACTTGAACCAGCTATCCTAGTGATAACTTTCCTCCATGTGTGCATCCCATATAGTATTTAAATACTGACTTTTGGCATATAACACATTTGTTTCTCATAGAGGAAAACCTCTCTAAGAGACCATTTAGTGCACATATTATTCACTAATAGTTTGTAGTTCGTTTCCTTGTTTTCAATCTAAAAAAATCATTTGGTAGAGAAGGAACAGAGTAAAAGAATTAGCAACATAATCCTTGCTGTATCTTTTTTTTTCCTATCAAATTATAGTAATCAAAGCCGGTAGTTTCATCATCCTGCTCTCCATCAGTGATGTGCAAACAGTGGTGTGTTTTCACATCCCCTTGAGAGTGTTTTCACATCCCTTTTCAAAATAAAGATGAGGTTTTTTCCCATAGAGTTCCTATTTGAAAAGATCTCAGCACAATCTTGTGCATTTGTTGTATATTCCATGAAAATGTTGACCTCTGGGCTACATTATGTCTTTCTAATGCTTTTATATACTTTTACAGTGTTTAGGAAAACTCCATTTCTCTGCAATACGAATTGTAAGCATGCTTAAAAGGTTA